TCCTATGATCTGTCAGGTAGTTGAGTTGGCGCTATTCTTTTCATACTGTCTTTTAAAACAATATATATATATATCACATGTTTGTTCAATAACATATGAATGTTTTAAAGCAACTATTATGATATAATATAAACATCAGAAGGGGTTTGTGCTTATTATAATAATTTTAATAGTTTAGATCATTAGTCATTTGAAGCTGAACCACCATGGAAAACCTGGAAGCACTGGACGGCCATTTCGTTCTATTGTGGGGCTCCTCAGCGACCCGCGTCCACGATCCTGCCTCAAGAGATTCGAGCCCAGGACCTATCAGTCTCGCACACGAGGGTTTTGCATGGTAGTCTAACTTCAATTGACTCATGATCTCAACTATTACAATAATATAAACACTTTATAAATGATTATTAACTCGATCAACAAATACTTACATAATTGAGTTTTGATAAATAAAATGATTCGTGTTATAGAATATCTAGGTCAAGAATGTAAAGATTAAATCTACATTATTATAGACAACATCTTGTAATGATGGAAATGATTTTGATTTTGATATTGTTAAGTAGTCTAAGTCATTCATTATCATTCTAGACAAGACTATCTTTTCTTACCATGTATAAAAGTAAGCTTTTTAAATATCACATATACTAATTTTAATAGTTGAGATCGTGAGTCAATTGAAGCAAAACCACCATAGGAAACCTAGAAGCACTGGACAGCCGTTTCGTCCTATTATGGCACTCCACAGAAGTGTACACTCACGATCCCGCCTCATGATCTCAATTATTAAAATTAATATGATATTCACAAAACCCCTTTTCATATTACATATACGTTAGATCAGTCCATTTCAATAGTCTATGAAATTAATCGATCAAAAACAAAGTTATCAGGATAAAGTAATTTAGTGTATAAGATATGATTAGAACGCTAGCTTGTACATGAAGTTAACACTAGTAATATTATCTATAATGGTAATGGAGGCTTTATAATTAAAACAATTAACCTAGATAACTCATTGACATTTAACATTAACATTAGGAAACATTAATATCTAGTTGATGAGTTTCAAAGTAAGATTAAATATTTCATCTTCAATTAGAATTTTAGTCATAACCCAAGGATATAATAAAACTTTTAGCAACAGAGAATACTGATGGATTCATTGATGATGTAAATATGCCAACAGAGACTCGTCAAAATTCAGTTTTAAGAATTAACAACAGAAAAACATCAACCCTTACACATGTTCTAGTCGCTGGGCTTAAGACATACTTTCTGAACATCCACTAAAATGTATAACCAGTCATGTCTGAATCACTAACTATTATCAACGAAGGGATTGATTGATAGTCAGTTTTTACTTTGAGCTAACAGCTTGAGAATTATATCACTGAAAAGTAGATCTCATGACTGAGGTGTTTTCTTTTTTGTTGTTGTATTTTTTATCTTTAAATCCTATTGGATAAATATTCATTACACCATTATCTCTATAACAAACCTATGACAATTCCCCCTTCAAGTTAAACAAGTTGGTGAAGCCTAGTAAGCCTTTCTGGGAAGAAACAGACCACATCAAAGCACAGCACAACTACCGCGGATAGAATAGCTGTTTTTGCAACCGATTTGAGTTTACCCCATAAGGAGCAACTACGTGCATTACATGCAACACTTTTGTCAATATTTTGTCGTTTTTCCATCCAAGAGTAATTGTGCTGTGATTCTTTCTGGATTTCGTAATCGGTTTGAGGGTAGCGGTCGAGTGAGTGATTAGCCTTATCTCTACCACCCGGGTTACCGTCCACGTTAGTTCATGGGTCATTTATCCCATTATCCAGGAGGCACAACTCGGACGTGTGAGTCGGGTTTTGCCTCCCTACGACAATATTATAATAATATTTCATTTATCATTGAACTGAAGTTTATTTCTAACAGGATTGAAAATTTATTATATAACTTTCTTTCCAGAGATTGATGATATGTTAAGGAATACTTGAAAAGTTGAAATATTGAGGAGGTGAAGAAGAACTCTACTTTACTTCATTGTATTTTTGTCAATAAATAAACTATTGTGAAAGTACCCCTTATTTTATGAAGTACAAAATGTTATGCTTCTATAAGATTAAATGGGTGAGACTATAATATATGATTGACCTTTGAGCGACGCCAGACGTACCTTGAAAGTGTCCACCTAATAACCAGGACCAAATGAGGGTTATAAACCAGTGTGAGGTATTGGAATTATAATTTACAGTTGATGATTAAGCTTAGAAACTAGATTTCGGGTTTTCATCACGAACTGACATCAGCTATAATGCCAAAATTCTATTTAACCAAATAGATGGGTGAACCCATTGAAATCAAAGACCTGTTATCTTATACATGATTGGTTCGTCCATAAATTATAGTCTAGCCATTAAATGAAATAATAAGTTAGCGTTGGACTATCTTGTCCTTTAACTATGCTCTAACATGATTATTTTGAACTGACAGTTATTACAGAGCTGTAAATGGTTGACTTCAATTTGTGGAGGCTGGTACTATGTTAAGCCTATATAGCTTATTCTAGCTTCCGGACGGATTAGTTTATTCATTTTTCACATTTTGATCTTGTTAATTATTCGATTATCAACCTTGATTGTTTATATAACATTGAGGTATGATCTGATGTGAAAAAATTGACATTGATGGAGGAAAGAGTTAGAATGATCAGTGTTATCTAGAATCGGTTGATCACTGGGCGGTGATCAATGTCATGTATATCAGGTTCTTCTCAGTGTAGATCGAATCCTATCGACCAAGTTACAATATAGCTACTAATCTGGGTGGTTCGACATTGCGTGAACTATGTTGAGATAAGATGGTGGTTGGAGATAGTCAATATGAAACCATGGACGTAGGTTTCGTGCTACTTGACCCTGGTCAGCAAGGTGAACCTGTAATTTTGAGGGATTTGATGCTCCTTGTCGATTCACATAGGTTTGTTTAGTTTAGATGTTTTGCTGAGGTTTCTATAAAGACCGCCAATCAATATGAAATAGAAACGGTACAGTTGACACGTTTGTCTATGATATGTAGGTTATAAAATAGACAAAATAAATCGTAAACTAACCAGTTTTAATAAACTATGATTAGCCTAACATAGTTCATGAATGAATATGTACAGAAGCGGATCTGAAGTTGCATTAGTTCTTGCAAAAATATATGTTACACAGACAACTGTTTCTAAGTAGTTTATTTCCACTCTGTAACCTATTAAGACAAGGATCTGATACAATTAATTGACTGGTGTATGCTACTTATGTCGACATAAGTAGTAAATAACACCAATCATAAGTGGAATGTCTGGCAGCAGGTTAGGAAGGTTGAATCGACGAGAACGGGAACAGAGAGTAATTGTTACAGCAATTGAGGAACGATGAAGTTCGAGACAATTGATGGAAGATTTGCAAAAGAAGTATTGAACGTATGGTCTTCACATTTGACGAAAGAACTCAGTAATTTTGTATTAAAATACATCAGTTGTCCTCACCTGAGTTCTCGTTCATTACAATTGAGGTAACCGATTTTTTAATGTTCACTGGGATTCAAGACTGATGTATAAATTTTGTGTTAACATACGAATAATATTTCCAACCAAGGTATCGATGACATGACATTCAGCTTTTAAACGATTATTGATCCTGTCATCATTGTATGTACGCCTTGTTGATGAGTTGTTGATAGAAAACCTTTTTTGGGGAAATTGGTCTGTATAAATGTTATGCTAATCTATCTATTAACAAATAAGTTAGACTATTCTATCGAGCTATCAGAGTTCATAGATTTTCCTACTGTTTTTATAATTGATGCATTATGCTTCATTTGAATCAAACTTCATTGATGTGAACATTTAAGATGCTGTCGTTCGATTGACTCTGAAACACGCTTTCATTTTGGATCGGACAGTTTGACTTCCTTTATGATTCGTACCATTAATTTCTTAGTTTGTTCTGTAAAAATACCAGATTACCGGTATTCATAATTGCAAACATAATTATCGTCCTTCGAGATGCAATGTGCATCGTTATTCGTTTGGGCAACTTAACTTATCAGGATTTCCACAATATAGCCTCCAGAATATCATCATCGTTTCTCAAACCTTTTGATGTTGAGAAGCAAACTTTCCCTATGGTTACCGTTTCAACCAAACTTAGTTGGTGAAGGCGGTAGGTTCTTCTGGAGAAGAGGCGTACATTAAACACGGCACAGCTACCGGGGCACAATAGTTGTTCTCGCAGATGGTGTTATGTTTTTTGACCTTATTTTCTGTTCAGTGATCGTTGACCATGCACCACATAGCAATTATTGATTATGCCTTTTCGTGTTGAAGCTGTTTCACTTTGGACAAATTTATTGTTTAGTAAGGCTTCTAGTCTAGCTGTTTATTTATTGGCAACTGGATGTATTGGTTTTGGTCGTTTATTACTTTGTTTATTTGGTGGTCAATACTTGGATTTCTTTTTATTTAGTTTTATTATGGAGGTTGGCAATTTAGTCGTCTGAATTGACCCCTAGGGACAGACTCAAATAGATGTTAAAGACTAGGATATATGATTTCTTTTCTGTAACAGTTTTAACAGTTTTTGTGTTTGGAGAAACTCATGATCACCCAACACCAAAGTCTTTATTTCGGTTATTTTTCTCAGTATTATAGTCAAAGGTGTTTAAAATATTTACTTTATATAAGTATTGCAGGTTTGACTGAGTTCATTCCCGGGCTATCTATTCAGTATTTCATCAAAGAATTTATACTTGTAAACAAATATATACTGGACGTTCTGAGATGGTGGAGATGGTGGACGTTCTGCAATACATCATACTTGTACAGTTATGCATTATATACAAAAATAAAAAGAAGAGTTTACGAATTAAATATTTATTTACTTATCCAAAGAAATGTCCCCGAATAGTTTAAACATAATGATGAATAATAACTGAAGTGAAAAACGGTTAACTTAGTTTTAAAAATCGTCTGAAAACCATTCGCCTTTTGAATTCTAAAAGAAATGAAATGAAAAATCCGTTTTACGTTTATGGTAAATTACTCAGTAAAAATTACGTTAACAATGTTTGCTACTGATTAAAATATAAGTAGCTTAAAATATTCATTGAAATTTAGGGGCTATCGATTTGACGGGTTGCAAAATGAACTGTAAAATATGCTACCTTATTTTGTTTTAATTACTTTTCATGAGATAAATGAAGTTTAACTACAACACTTGGGTGTTCTGTGGTGCGTGCTACTGATTTCGACAGATATGAGTAGAATGGATCACCAATCAAAAGTGAAATGTTTGGCCGTAGAATGTTAAGAAGACCAAAGAGAAGAAAAGAGAACGAGAACAAAGAATGATTAGTGTGGAAATGTGAGAACAATGAAATCTGAGACGATTGATTGATATTTTGCAAATGAGGCATTTGTTGTATGGTTCTCAGAATTTACTAACACATTCTGTAATTTTATGTTCAAATACATTTGGTTGTCCCAGCTTGTGTTCTCATTTACTACAGTCTTTTTTATGAGCTAAAACGGGAAAATTATAATACACTGACTGCTTGATATGATTCGATGCGTAGTCAAGAATGTTAAGTGAAGTTAGATAATACTCCGCTTATAAAAGTTCCTCTAAATCTCAACCCTCAATTTCTAAAGGTAATGAATAGAAGGACGACAAAACATTGCATTGTAGCCATTATCAGTTCGTTCTGAAAACCCTTACCCTAATTTGTAATCCCAACTCAAAACTTCAGCCTAACACTTATTATCAAACATTAACTTTCTTACATTATAATTGATATCATTTGGTGACAAAAACCCTATGGGATAATAACCCTAACTCAGAATACTATCCCAAATCACATTATGAAAACCTGACGATTGTTATTTATTACAAAATATAATTTGATGTATCAGATTTAATTATTCCATTCAAAACTGTTAGTGCACTATTATCTTCACGAAGTATATCCTGGAGTTCTAGTGAGAAGTAGTGACCAGAGGAGTTCAACCAGGTCTGTTGTGAGATAGTAACTCACTGAAGACAATGGTAAATTTGTCGCTCAATTTCGTGGATTAGTTGAAGTTAGACATTAACACCGTTGGATGCCGGCTCAGTGGTCTAGTGGTTAAGTGCTCGCGCGCGAAACCAGTAGGTCCTGGGTTCGAGTCTCGCATGGGGTGAGGTGGTGGATGCGCACTGCTGAGGAGTCACGCAATAGGACGAAATGGCCGTCCAGTGCTTCCAGGTTTTCCATGGTGGTCTAGATTCAACTGACTTATGATCTTAAACATTGATATTATTTTATTGTTAAATGTTTTGTAATCACTTAGAGGTTTCTAATTGCCTGATTTGTTGTATAACATAATATTTACCGTTTAAAGTAAGTGACAGTTGAGTTAAACTTCAGAATGTGATGTTATTAATCCAGCTCAAAGAATAAAACTTCATCAAAAATCATTCATCTGAGCTACAAATTCTCTCCACCATGTTATTAATCTTTTCTACAATTACAATTGAAACTCATTAACACAAAGTACAAACAGTATTAAGCTTTTCGAATGATATTTTGTAGTATGTCTAACTTATATAGAAGTTTACAAGATGGTAGACATTTCTAACTATTTAACAGAGATATACTCAAATAATATTTTAGTACGTAAATCATTCAGTTAAGAGGTAGTTTTCCCTAGTCCTCAGTGCTAATCAAATTCTTTTGACAGAGTAGCAGTTTTCTTATTAGATTAGGTGCATCGACGTAAATCATTATAATCTTATTTTGCTACTAAGGATTACTATAGGGTGGGCGGTTGCCCCCCATTTCATTACATTTAACAAAGTCCTGTTATCTAGTGGTCTCAAAATTGATAATAAAATATATTATGCACTAATCTATCCTAAACTCCGCCTGGAGTCCCTCCGGGAGCTACTGCCGGTCCCAAGCCCGGATAAAGGAGGAGGGTTGGGCGTGGGATTAGCGATCCCACCCCATAGAAAACTAACTCGCTAAAAAAACGCTAAGCAGAAAAGTAAGTAAGTAAGTAATCTATCTTAACTAGAAGATATTTCGCTAGTGTAATAAGATGACGAAGAATATCAGAACTATGGGATTCTATATTAGTGCATTACATTATCACATAGTTCTGATAATCTTCATCTTCTTATTACATTATTGAAATTTATTAAAGGGACTGATTGCTTTAAGTTTCTTAAAAGAAGATTCCTTGTACATACTATTAAAAGGTTACATGAACTTGTCAATCTTAACCAAAAGATATTTATATTCAGAAACTTTCTGGTGATGAATTCAATTTAAAGATAGTTTATGTTGCATTCTGATAATAAACTAGAAAAAAAGATATTATAAAGCATTGAACGTTGAACATATACCTTGTTCTAGCCCCCGAATGCCCTGTTATGGCCGGGAGTGGGTAGAGTCAGCCCTCACTCTGCAAATGCTCTCGTATAGCCATGTATATACAGCCACTGTTAGGGAAGTCCTACTCATTGACTTCTCTCAGTGGGAAGGTTGTTTACGAAATTGAGAGGATGAAAAGCGAATATCTGGCACTTTAACCAGGTTGGTGAACACAAAGAGTCCTCCTAGGAGAGATGAAAAACCGTGATTCCAAACCAATGGTGTGCATGGGCTCCAGGATCCTGAAGGAACAAATGTCATGTGAACCAATTTTTGGTCACCGGCTATTATGGAACTGCATCTCCTGATGTTATTCCACTGCTCTGTGGATCAGACCTTTAGGTCAAATTCTTTGGGTGTGGCCCTAAGAAAATTACCTGCTTCGATTTGGGTACCCGGGCAGTATCCCAGCCCTCACACAAATCAAATGAGATTTGTGTGTCGCATATCTATTTGGTGCCCCCTTGTACCAATATCTAAGTGTTCAAATAAATAAATAATAGTAAATAGGGTGGGCGGTTAATAATGACAACCATTTTAGTTTCACATGAGATAAACTTTACGATCTTGATAATTTAAAGATGTTGTCTTTGACTGCCAGATTAAGTGGCTAGGATAAAATTTTATTTGAGACATTAATCATGTTTAAGATTTCGGTTATATCTTCCTGATAAGTATAAATCAGTAAGAAACCTGCATTCAGTGGACCTTTTTCGATTGTGGTCAATCATATAACAATAGAGTTCAGTCTGTTAGTTACTCTACTAAATACATTTCATAAAGACAGATCTTTTCAGTTAACATCGTCTTAGCAAGGTTTCCTTTAATAGATGGACAGAACTCCTAACACCTTAACCACTGACCTGCATTGAATGGTTTACATGTTTGACTTCAATCACATTCTGCAACAAAACAACTGTACAATACTTCTTGGTTTTCAATAGTTGACCAATTAAGATCAGTCAGTGGTGTAAACTATGAGATCTTGTGTATACTTACCGTAGTCCAAATGTTGTGGAGACCGTGAAAACACTAGGAAACATTTTATCCAATCAGTATCGAGTTTTTTTAAAAACATCTAGAAAGTGAAGAGTCGTGTGTCACATTTCTGACTGGATGATTACCTGTCCTGCTACTATGTTTACTAGGGTTCTAGAACCTTCCAGAAGCCCAAGGCTGTTTGAAATGCTACAAATACCCTCAATTTTCTGTGCCTAAACTAACCTTAGAGTAAAGGTTTCTTTCTACATTTCGCGCCTTTTCTTTCGTGTTTAAGTTGTCGTGTAGATTAAACCTATGGTTATAAGAAGAGCTTAGGAAACTGATTCAAGTGTTCAGTCAGAAAGTTGATCACAAATGTGCAAATAACTGTTCAATGAATACAGCAATAGTTTGTCACTATTTTGTTTTTAAAAGGTAGTTAACAATAAAAAAAGGCATATTATAAACAAAGAAAAACGTTAACTTGTTGCTTCAATGTTCAATGCGCTTACTTTATAAATAACTTGGATGAGACCAACAGCAGATTTCTCAAAAGCTTTTATACACTAAATTGACAAAACATGAATGAAGAGATAAATTTATCAATTCAATGACCAAAGTTAGAAATATGAACTATCGAATTCTGTGTTACTGGTCTACAGTTAAAGTACATACAATTAGTTTGATGTCATCTATGGTGGTGGATAGACTCTACTAAAGTTTAAGATGACAGTAAAAATCAGTTCAATTGTTCATGGTTTTCACTTACTTACTTACGCCTGTTACCCCTCGGGGAGGAGCATAGGCCGCTCAGGGTTTTCAGAAGCTCTTAAAATGTTGTTAATTAAGATCATGAATCGATTGATGTTGGACCATCATTGAAAACCTGGAAGCACTGGATGGTCGTTTCGTCCTAGTATGGGACTCCACAGCAGTGCGCCGGATTCGAACCCAGGATTTCCAGTCTTGTGAGCAAAAAATCTATCACCAATTTATGGTAAATACTTGGATATTAAATGCAGAGATTTCTGATGACTTAAATACGATCTTGATTGTAGTAAATGTCAAATCAAGTAGTTATTTTAAGTCAGATAACTGTGTATAGGAAGAGGAAGGTATTTGTATAACTAAGGAAATTCATGATAATCTTTGTTATATAAATCCACATTAAGTAATTTATCATCAGTTAGTCCACAAAATTTAACTAATTATGTTTGAATATAAGATTTCATTACAAATTAACATAACCTAGGAGATTATCGGAAATTAGATAAGGTTGGACAGCTGTTCGGTTTCAATTAGAAATTCTTACACAATCTGTATCTATAATCCTGTACAGAACCAAACTCCATCATATTGCTTATGATACCTTCAAGTTAACAGGTTGGTAGTCAACAGTTCACACTTTAATGGGACATGATTCTCATCTTTATTAGACTGACAAACAACTATAAAGTATATTAATTCATTTTTGGATTGGTTGTTTGAGTCTTCCCCTTGATGTTTAGGATTGCAATTGATCAGATTCTTATTAGGCATATGTGGTTCCTGTACGGATTGCCTCAATATTACTACTAATTTACATGTATTGTAAGCAGAGATGAATGATAGTTAGCAGTGGAATTCAGATTTTGAAGTTGTATGTTATTCATCACGACACGAACACCTGTTACTCCTCGTGAAGGAGCATAAGCCGCTCACCAGCATTCTCCATCCAACCCTGCACTGGGCAATCCTTTTCAGCTCTTTCCAGTTGTTATTCATCCTTTTCATATCTGCTTCTATTTCTCGACGTAATGTGTTCTTTGGCCTTCCTCTTTTCCGCTTCCCTTCAGGATTCCAAGTTAGGGCTTGTCTCGTGGTGCAATTTGACGATTTGCGTAATGTATGTCCTATCCATTTCCATCATCTTTTCCCAATTTCTTCTTCAGCTGAAAGCTGATTTGTTCTCTCCTACAAAAGGCTGTTGCTGATGGTATCCGGCCAATGGATGTTGAGTAACTTGCGTAAACAGCTATTTATAAATACTTGTACTTTCTTGATTGTGGTTGTTGTAGTTCTCCAAGTTTCAGCTCCATACAGTAGAACTGCCTTGACGTTCGTATTGAAAATTCTCACTTTGATATTGGTTGAAAGTTGTTTTGAGTTCCATATGTTCTTCAATTGAAGGAATGCCACCCTTACTTTGCCAATCCTCGCCTTCACGTCTGCATCTGAACCTCCTTGTTCATCGATGATGCTTCCTAGGTATGTGAAGGATTCTACATCTTCCAGAGTTTCGCCATCAAGAGTGATTGGATTGCTGTTTTCCGCTTTGAATTTGAGGACCTTGGTTTTCTCCTTGTGTATGCTGAGGCCTACTGATGCAGAGACTGCTGCTAAACTGGCTGTCTTCATCTGCATCTGTTCGTGTGTACGTGATAGGAGGGCTAGGTCATCTGCGAAGTCCAAATCGTCTAATTGATTTTGAGCTGTCCATTGTATTCCGTGTTTTCTTTCAGATATCGAGGTCCTCATAATCCAGTCGACCACCAGGAGAAAAAGGAAGGGAGAGAGTAAACAGCCTTGTCTGACTCCGGTCCTTACTTGGAATGCATCTGTCAGGTGTCCTCTATGCACGACCTTGCACTGTAATCTGTCGTATGAATTCCGGATAATGTTGACAATTTTTTCAGGAACTCCGTAGTGTCGAAGAAGTTTCCATAACGTCCTCCTATCTACACTGTCAAATGCCTTTTCATAATCAATGAAGTTGATGTATAGTGACGAGTTCCACTCAACTGATTGTTCGACGATGATCCGTAGTGTTGCAATTTGGTCTGTGCACGACTGATCCCTACGGAATCTAGCTTGTTGATCTCGAAGTTGGGCGTCTACTGCTTCTTTCATCCGGTTCAGCAACACTCTGTTAAAGACTTTCCCTGATACTGACAGTAGTGTAATGCCTCTGTAGTTTTCACATTTGCTCAGATCTTTCTTTGGAATCTTGATGAGGTGTCCTTCTTTCCAGTCCATTGGCACTTGTTCCTCCTCCCAAATCTTTTTGAATAGAAGGTAAAGCATGTTTGTAGTTACTTCGATGTCTGACTTCAGTGCTTCAGCTGGTATGTTGTCGGGTCCTGCTGCTTTCCCGTTCTTGATTTGTCTGACGGGCATTCTGATTTCTTCCGTCGTTGGTGGATTGACATTTATAGGAAGATTTATGTGTGCTGTTTCGATGTCCGGTGGATTCATTGGAGCTGGCCTATTCAGGAGTTTCTCCAAATACTCTACCCATCTGCTCCGCTGTTGTTGAGTTTCAGTGATGGGCTTGCCTTCTTTGTCTTTGACCGGTTTCTCTGGTTTACTGTATTTTCCTGCTGGTTTCTTCGTTGCATCGTAAAGCTGTTTCATATTTCCTTTTCTAGCAGCTTTTTCCGCCGTCGTTGCTAGTTCTCCCACGTATTTCTGTTTATCAGCTCTAATGCTCCTCTTCACTTGCTTGTTTGCTTCTATGTATTCAGCTTGTGCTTGGACTTTCTCTGCTAGTGTTCGGCTGTTGTTAATTGCTGTCTTCTTGTTCTTCCTTTCTTTGATCTTGTCCAGTGTTTCTTTAGAGAGACATTCCTTATGATGGTGTTTCTTTAGGCCCAGAACCTCTTGACACGTTGAAGTTAATGCTTCCTTGATGCCTTTCCAGTTGTCCTCCATAGTAGTTTCTTCTTCCTTCAGTAGATCTTGTAAGGCTTGGAACCTGTTGTTGAGAGCTATCTTGAATTCATTGAGTTTGTCAGTATCTCGAAGGAAGGCTGTATTGAATCTTTGTAGTGCTGTTTGTCCAGTTGTCCAGTTCTTTTTTAGCTTCAGTTTTAAATTGGCTACAACTAGTGGTGATCTGAAGCTACGTCAGCACCTCTCCTGGTTCTCACATCTTCCATTGTCCTTCGGAATTTTTTGTTGATGCAAATATGATCTATCTGGTTCTCTGTAGTGTGGTCCGGTGAGATCCATGTAGCCTTGTGTATACGCTTGTGTGGAAATATTCTGCCTCCTATGACCAATTTGTTGAATGCACACAGGTTTGCAAATCTTTCTCCATTTTCGTTTTTCTCTCCCATTCAGCCCATGTCGTCCCATGATATCTTCATATCCGGTGTTTTCTATTCCGACTTTGGCGTTTAGATCTCCCATCAGAATGGCGAGGTCCTTTCTTGGGTACTTCTCTATGATTGATTGCAGCCTATCGTAGAACTGATCTTTTTCGTCGTCACTGTTATCATTGATGGGTGCATAACATTGGATAATATTCATTGTGATCCCCTCCTTCTTTGTTTTGAATGATGCTTTGATGATTCTGGACCCGAGAGATCCCCATCTACAGGTGCACTTCGTGCTACTTTGGACAGCATTAGAGTAACTCCCTGAGTGTGCGGAGCATTTTACTCTTTGTCACCAGAGTATAGCAACATCTCTCCTGTATCTAGCCTTTGTTGTCCAGCTTGAGTCCAATTGGTTTCGCTGATTTCCTGTACTGCCGATTTGTATCTCCTCATTTCCGTTGCTATTTGACTGGTCTTTCTGGTCTCCCACAATGTCCGGAAGTTCCATGTACCTATAAATGTTGTTGCTATGATTGCTAGAAAGGGCATTCGTTTCGTGGCTTCCGAAGGAACTCGGCTTTCATCATGAATCGTCATAGTTCTTCTAAATGAAGACCTTCTGACTCCCAGGGCAGAGTGTAAACGGTTTGAATCAATTTTTCTGGTTATTGCTTTTTTTAGCGGGATGGGGTCGCTAACCGCATGCCCAAACCTCGTCCTTTACCCAAGCTTGGGACCGGCGGTAACTCTAGAAGAGCTACAGGTAGAGTTTTGTGTGTTATTGCTTCCAATAATTCCACAGTAACATATACACTCCTGGATAATTCAGTTATCACTAAATGAACATTGTGTTTTGTTTAAACTGAGAAATTGTAGTTGTTAATATCTAATAGATTCATATTCAATCAATTTTAATATCAAATCATATCACCAAATAATAAACTATACGGTTATGAGGCAAAGATAAATAGTATCTAGCAGTGGAATCCAGGATGTGGGTTTCGTCCTATTTTGGGAATCGTCAGGTGGATGTACGTGAATCTTAGAGTTGATGTTAATGCTTTACAAAAAATACGTACTGAAATACATTTCATGACAGAAGTTACAAGAGAGCAAGAACACAAAAAACACCCCGACTAACCTTTTGATCAGAAGAACAAAGTTTTGTAGCTGATTGTTCAATAAACTCTGGTGTAATAATTGACTCTATATCTTCTTTCAATATGCTTAGTGTTTTCATCAACAGATTGGTATCTGTTAAAAACAATGAAATTAAAGGTGAATGGAGCTAATCATAGTTTTATCTTCCAACTTTATATTACACGTTTAAGTTATTGACTGACATAAAAAAGAGAACACTTGATATTTCACACTAGTGGTACAGACATGGTCAATAATTGACCTGTCGACTAGAGATAGGTATCCACTCCAGACAATGACTGAAGGGTTGTGCAAGACCATGGATCGACTGTGGTTAGACATTAACACCGTTGGATGCCTGCTCAGTGGTCTAGAGGTTAAATGTCTATGCGCGAAACGTCGACTCTTAAATTCAAATATTATAGTCGACATATCTCTCATTGGCTGAATTCCCAATATTATTATTATTAGCTGTCGTAATTTTATGGAAGTTCCCAGAAGCCTATGGTAGATTTTAACCGTATAAATACCATTCGGTTTTATATTTAAACAAATTTCAGAGTAAAAGATTATCCATATTACATCTTCTTGCTTTGTATGAGAATCAAAATTGATCTTATCATGAAAGTCGAGAAGGTCAGCATCGCATAAACGGATTGCTATAATAGAACGAATATTAGAAAAGTTGGAACTTTTGAAACTATTCATTGGATCATTATTATTATTATTATCTATATTTCTATTGTGTGACTAGTAGTTAACCGTATTGTTGCATTTCTATATTCCTTTTATTGTAAGCTTCAAATGAACCTAACAATTATCGTTATAACTTACTATCCCTAAGTTATTGCTAATTAATTATGTACTGTTTGTTTTGTCCTCTACCACTTACGGTATGGTTGTATTTAGAGTATGATTTCTTATTTAATGCACTGCGTGGTCAGACGTTTCACGCATATCAATGTTTACGTTTTGATGCATGAATGAACCGAGTATAACAGGGAAATAGTCTGCTTCCTATCTACGTTTTCTGATCGGCTAATGGGTTAGAAAGAGCTGTTTTATTCAATGGAAAAACGGCATTATTTTATATAGTAAACCATTTTATTGTTTGGTTGTGAAAAACGAATCTTCAGAGGAAGATAATACTTCTGTATTTAGTATTACAAAGCTTTAACGGAAAAACATAATCTATGAAGCTGTTGTAGGAAATAAAACTGGTTATTTGTCACCTGACACACTGTGAAATGATTGGAATTGAATAATATGAATTAATGGATTATGAATGATTGATGGAATGATACTGTATTAACCGTACACCTTTTGAGTTCTCTTTGTCGAGATATTCAGTTCTCAGTGGTTTGTACATTTAAATTATTTACCAAGTTTTAGGTGTATGTACTTGGCCTACAGCTATACTGTTTGTGTGAAGGTTAGTGATAATATTTAACTGATAAAAATGTAGTAGATTTGTTGTGCTTTGAACATCCACTTCATTGTCGAAAGTCATGTACACTATCAATACTAAACCATCGCTCCACAGTTTGTTAAATGTTAATAACTTATATATACATATATATAAAGTAACTTACAGAATGAATCATCTAGGCTTGTCATCAATTCTTGTTGAACTGTTTCACAAAGTCCAAGATACTTCAAGAAGTGTGTACCGAAAAAAGCAACACACAAGTTACATATTTTCAATAACAGTTTAAATATGATTTTGTCTAGCTAAAATTAATTTTCAATGTATACAGTAGACTGAACAATTCCCACTCCTCACTCATGCTTTTTACGGATAATCATTCATATATTGATGACTAACTCTGAGTGTAAGTCCTGGATATTCAATAAGATGTGATCGATGGAGTTTAACCATATCGGAAGTAAGGCAGCGAGATTATAATTTATGGAAGAACCAATCAGATTTAAGATGACAGGTCTTGGGTTTTGGAGCGAAATTCACCCACCCATTTGGCCAAATAGCGTTTTGACATTTTAGCTGATGTCAGTTCGTGATGAAAAATCGTAAATCTAATTCCGAACCCTGACCATCAACTGTGAATCATAATCTTTATTCTTCAAACTGCTTTATGACCCCCATTTAGCCCCAGTAAGTAGGTAGACACTTTCAAGATCACTTTGGCGTCGCTCAATGGTTTATATCAAATCAGTCTGTGATATAAATTACGTCACAGCATAATTTCTACTGATTAATATCTTGAACACACTAATAAGAAATATATTACTTGGCTGCTTCCAATCTATCACATAAATTTCCAGCCGCCAACTATAGATAATCAAAATCTACAAGAAATTATGTAACTAAAAATCGTATTTAGTATACTGATTGTGACTAGCTACGTGAGAGGATTCTCGGAGTTCTAGTGAGTAGCCGTGACCAGCGGAGCTAATCCGTGTCGGATACAATGACAGATGGTCGCGCAATTTCGTGGATTGATTGAGGTTAAACACTAACACCGCTGAATGCCGGCTCAGTGGTCTAGATGTTTAGTGTTTGTGCGGAAGAATGAGGGCTCTATGTCAGAATCCCGCGAGTGGGCTCGTGGATGTGCACTGCTGAGCAGTCCTACAATAGGACGAAACGACCGTCTAGTGCTTCCAGGTTTTCAATGATGGTCTAACATCAGTCAGTTCATGATCTCAATCAAAAACTTGATAGTCTTCACAACTCTATACTGACATTTAGTATAGTTATATAATCCTATATTTTATAATATCAAAAAATAAAAAAAAATTATTGATTGATTATAAAGCTTTACAATACAAACTTTTTTTCTATAACCAAAAACTTACTTGACATGGTTCATAAACACTCATGTTTACAACAAAATCATGAACTATCCCATCAAATGGTCCTTTAAAGAAACGTTTACACTGAATATATCGGTAAATGTAAAAAAATTAGGTTAATTTGTGTTAACACGTTTTAATAAATCGTGAGATATTTCAATGATATATTATAAGATATCATTAGCATAAAGGTTTGTTCCATTGATAGGTACTTATACATTTTAATAGTTGAATTCATCAGTCGACGTAGGCTAGACCGCTATTGAAAAGTTGGAAGCACTCAACGTCCGTTTCGTAATACTATGGGACTCTTCAGCAGTGTGCATTCATAGTCCCGCACCAAAAGGACTCGAAACCAGGACCTTAGACCTCGCGCACAAACGCCTAACCTCTAGACCGCTGAGTGGGAGTACGATCTTGTTATTGTCTAACTTCAACCAATTCACAATATTACGCGACTGTTTTCCATTGTGTTCAGTAAGTAACTGCCTCACATCAGGTATGGGTGAACTCCAGTGCTTCCAAGTTTTCAATAGTGGTCTAACATTGATCAATTCATGATCTCAATCACGTTTTTAATTAGTCTTAAATTTTACTGTAATAAAAATCACTTATCAGAGTTTTCATCTCTAGCCATGCTTGTCATTATCTACCGACAGACATCATATAAAGAAGGTTGTTGAATTTCTGACTGTCATATTGCAATATCATAACTTGTCAATTTGATCCAATGTCAAAATACATCATGTTTTTTTATTGTGTTCCTCTAGTCTTTAAAGGTGATCAAATTCTATTGACTAGCATTAAAAACAAGGCTAACATAATATTGAATACAACACAGTGATTAAGTAACATGAATCCATTTTCGAATGTCGTTTAACTTTGGTAAATGGTTATTCAGTTTGTGAGGATTGTAGATGAGAAATAGAATTTTGATGGGTCGGTAATAAAGAAATACACTAGAAACAGGAAGAATGTACAGAAACGCTAATGTTAAACAGTATAACCTTCTAAAATACATGAATCGTGACCAAAAACTTGAAGATTTCTAGTCCCACAAGTGAATACTTCAATTTGATAACTTGATGTTTAACTAAGAAAGATGATTAAATAACCATGAATGAAAGTTCACATAGCAGTTTACTGGAAATTATTAATCAATATGTATTATTCCGCTTACTACAATGTTTAACATTGTAATTTGATTATATCGTGTATACCACAGGCTTTATGGTATGTGCTATTGATGTCGACAGATATAAGTAGTATGTATCATCAGTCGAAAGTGAAATGTCTGGCGACAGAAGGTTAAGAAGATCAAAGAGAAGGGAAAAGAAAGACAACAGATAGTGATTCATATGGAAACGAAGAAACAATGACGTCTGAGACGATTGATTGATATTTTGCTCAGATTTTACTAACACATTCTGTAATTGTGTGTTCAAATATATTCGAATGTCCGTCACTGGTGTTCTCGTTCATAATAACTTTACTGACGTAAGTTGTAACCATGTAATCCACATAGACATGAATTATTTAGGTTGACGGATATTATTTAGTAAAGAACAAAATGAACAGTTGAAGTTTAGTTTTTTAATTCTCTCTTAGAAAATTCGATGAGACTATAATTTATGGACAACCTTTGAACGACGCTAAAGTAACCTTGAGTGTCCACTTAATAATTAGGACCAAATGTGGGTTATAAACCTGTGCGAGGAACTAGAATTAAGATATACAGTTGATGATTATGGTTCAGGATTAGATTTCAGGTTTTCATCACGAACTGACATCAACTATAATGGCTAAATTTTTTTTAACCAAATGAATGAGTGAATTTCGCGCCGAAATCCGAGACCTGTTATCTTAAATCTGATTGGTTCGTCCATAAATTATAGTCTCGCGGAAAATCCAATCAAATATTTTAAATCATTATGATTTACATTGAAAATAGTAGTATAGATAAAGTATAAAACCTACTTGAGCACGAGGTTGTTTATATGGAAGAAAATTACACATTACAGATAATAGTTCAGCTGCAATCTTTCGTGTATAACTTTGCAAAAGTAACCATCGAATACCACGAACATTCATAACACAAGTTTCACAAACTTGGAAGAAAAAAAATATACAAGAGAATAAAGTACAGTATCATCTCTGAAACAATCTTAACAACCATTTGTAATTCTAATATGATGGGGATGATCTGTATTCAACATTAATTCCATTTTAATTCAATGTGATGATTACTTAGTATAGTATTTGTTTCTGTTTCCCAGAGTAACATTTTATTCTGTATAATATACGATATATTTGTATTAAGTTAATATGAACTATACTCAGCATATTGAGATGGTAGAGAAGATTTGTAGCTTAGGTGGATGAGATTGATGGAGTTTTATTCTCTGAGATGGATAGTCTGGTCGTGGAGATTTCATCGTTCTTCTGAACGACATCATCAGCACATACTTCAGGTAGATCATGACATCGTTTAGAATAACAGTGAATGCTCCTCGACCAAACTATTCAGCTCAGAGAACAAAACTCCATCATACTTAGCATATGATTTGTTATAACCCTAATTATTTTTTTTCATATATGTGATTTCATCCTAATTATTAATAAAAAATGGGTGTATGAATCAATATATGAATGAGTGTAGTTCCGACTAGACTTGTCGTGGTTGTTTGTGATTCTGGTTGCTTGTGGAATATATTTCCCTCTTCCGAACTTGGACTTCTCTCTCTAGTAAGCTGGGCTGGGATGCGTCGAAATAGATAGCTTATATGTCATTATGTCACAGAGTCTTCGTTCTGTTCTCAGATTAGGTGAACTCGTAATCGCTTCAAACATGGCATATTCTTAATAATATACAAAATGTTAATTAGAAGAAGGATGTCTTTATTTTTCAGTAAAGTTTTCGACTAATAGCCCATTGTTATAATATATGATATATAGATCAATTAAACTTGGCTTTGATTAATCACTAATTTTGTGTTGAATATAAGCTAGTTATAATGTAGTGAAGAAGACTTTTAACTCAAATGGATACGTTCGATGTTGTTGACCTCATTGAGCTAAACTGTTTAGTTATGAAGCTTTCATTATCGTTCAGGACAACGTAAACATAGTTTACCCCTCACATAGAAGCAAACTTCTTAAATTAGAGAAATCAACAACGTCATTAGCTGGTTCTATTTTATAGATACCAATAGTAATTATAATTTCGGTTTAGTTTATAAGCAAATATATCGAAACCTATTGTCTATCATAACATATTACGTCGGGAAATAGAAGCAGATATGAAAAGGATGAATAACAACTGGAAAGAACTGGAAAGGATTGCCCAGGACAGGGTTTGATGGAAAGTGCTGGTAAGAGGCCTATGCTCCTCCACAAGGAGCAACAGGAGTAAGTAAGTAAGTAAGTAAGTAAGTAAGTAAGTAAGTACTGTCTATCATAAGTTTCAATCAATCAAAATCTTAATAACTCACTTAATTGGCATTCCAATTGTTCAAAATCATTTACAGAACTCTGAAATTCAAATAAAACTTTAAATGAGCTTTGAATAATACCTGTTGATTTTCATGATGTTTCCATGGAGATTATTGATCAAATAAGCCTAAGTGATTATGATCAGTATATTCACAGTTAATTTTGTGATTGATATTATGATTTTATTCCTTTTTCTAAGAGTGAATTTTTTCCTTAGGGAGTATTTATAAAGTTAGGAATCAATGTTACATCAAAGAATTCAAATGATAGAGAATAAGGATATTCGTGGTGTTGTGTTCTGCAATCTAATGCATCGAGTTTAAAGTATATAACACTTCCAGAAATAATTCAGATATTCTGTAATAATAATACTCATTTACATATTTTATAGGACTGAATGTATCCAATAATTTTGTTAGTTGTTCCAGCCCCCAAATGCCCTGGTATGGCCGAGAGTGGGTAGAGTCAGCCCTCCCTCTCGAAATGCTCCCACATGGACACGCATATACAGCCACTGTCAGGGAAGTTCTACTCACTGACTTCTCGTAGTGGGAAGGTTGTTTACGAAATTGAGAGGATGAAAAGCGAATGTTTGGCACTTTAACCAGGTTGGTGAACACAGAGAGTCCACCTAGAGGAGTTGGAAATCCATGATTCAAAATCAATGGTGAACATGAGCTGCAGTATCCTGAAGGAACAAATAGTGTATGAACCAACTGTTCGTCACCGGCCTCCATGAGACTGGATTTCCTTACGTTACTGCACTGCCTTGTGGATCAGACATTTAGATCAAAATGTTGGGGTGTGGCCCCCTAAGAAGACCACCTGTTTCGATTTGGGCACCCGAGTCGTGTCACAGCCCTCACACAAATCAAATGAGATTTGTGTAGCGCATATCTATTTGGTGCCTTATTGTACTAATGTTTATGTGTTTAGAAAAAATGTCCTACTCCTGATTGATCTGAACCTACTATTTAACCAAAAAAAGTCTTTGAATCGCTGAATGAATACATGACTTTCGATTCGCTTATCTAATAATTCATATTTCTAACTCATAACATATATATATAGTTCATAACAATCATACGATACTGTCAACAGCTAATCGTAGATCTCAAAATTTATAATCAAACACCCAAAACTACATAAAATTTTTTTGAAGAGAATAATATCATTGTTATACATAACAATACATACCTCAATAGGTTCTCCGTAAACTATATTCTTCAAACCTAAATAATTATTATTGAATGGTACAAAAAAAACACACAAAAAAAAAACGCAAAATATTAACCATCTTACCAAGTAAAGATATTAGGAGAAAGATTTTAGCGAACATTATCTCAGCAGTATGTTTACTCAGGAACTCCAAGTATCTATTCTATCTATAATAGTTCAACTAGTAATCACAAACAGTTGTTTTAATCTTTTTATCTTAAATAAATAGACTGGACTAATCATTTCGTTGCATTGAATAAATAATACTTGAACTAATAGTAATAATAATAGTAGTAGTAATGATAATAATACTAATAATAGTAATAACGATTGAAATACTTTGATCTAAGAATTTCTGTTGTTATCTATCTTGAACAGTTTCAAAAAACAAAATTATTTAAGCCTCCTCTTTGTGTATCAAAGTTCACATGTACATGATTATATGATAAATAATCTATGGTATTCGTTTATAAAATTATTGAATAACTATGATTTATGCCAGTTTATAGTGAATTAAACAAACTGGTCAATATCAGAAGGGGATTTTGTGGATATTCTAGTTTCGTCGATTGGTTGAAGTTAGAAACTAACACCGTTGGATGCTGGCTGAGTGGTCTGCAGGTTAAGCGCTCACGGGTCCTGGGTTCGAATCTCGCGAGGCGGGATCGTGGATGCGCACTGCTTAGGAGTCCCAATATAGGACGAAACGGCCGTCAAATGCTTCCACGCTTTCCATGGTGGTCTAGCTTCAATTGACTTACGACCTCAAATATCGAAATTGGTCAATGTTTAATATATATTACTCATCAAGTTATTCAGTAGTTTATTCATGTTTACTAATTAATATATGGATTGAAATGATGATAGATGTTTTTGAGAATGAGTATTAGGGAAATGAAATCAGCTAGTCGATTTAATAAAGTTTGGTAATGAAATAAGAAGATGAGGGTTGTCAGAATTACATGATATATTTGAGCAATACATTCAGAATAGTTGGATCACATACATATACTTGTTAAGACATTGTTATATGAAAAATACAATGTCAACTAGACAGATTAAACGTAATGATAAAGTACACAAAAACATTGTAAAAATCACTCTGAATAATAAATCAGTATTATCAGGGTAGGTTAAGGGTAAGAACAAATTGTTTTTGAATACATAGATGGGGTTTCAGTTTGTGTATAACCATGGCTTCTAAAAATTTTAGTATACGCTCTTGAAGACTTGTGTACAAAACTACAAAGGTTGACTTACCAACCAACCTTATGACTGGTCTCAACCAAACGTTTCACAATGGATGAAGACGTTTGTCTATCCTGGGATCTTATCTGACCATTAGGAATCATTTGTTTTTGGAGCCATTTAGACATGTGTTCAGCCAGCCTAACTTGCAGATCATGATTGCTCCTTCTCATGTACGTGTTTCCACACATACATGTAAATTAATAGACACAATGGGATGTGATACAATCGCTTACGTGCTGTTCAGGTTTTGAATGAAACATAAACCTTGGGCTGCATAAAATGTCCCGTTGATGGCGAATTTAAATAACCGTTTCAACATGAGACTATTTGAAATACCTCTGAATGGTAAAATAATGTAAACTCGCTTTTTGGGTACCAGAAGAGTCATAGGTCTAATCGTATTACAACCTTCTCAGTGGTTTATGAATGTCAATGAAAAACCATTATTCATTAATGTTTCAATCAAGAGCTACGTCTTTACTTCAATAGTATCGCTAGTACAAATATAATTGATTTTATTGAATAATCCACGTTTGTAATGGATTGGGCAATGACTATGGAAATTAAGATATTACCCTGTCCATATCGGCTTTCTATATATAGAACGTTTGATAGAACCATTATCTCTTCTACTAATCAACATATCTAGAAAGGGAAGTTGATTATTCTTCTCTCCTTTGCATACATGAGAAATATGCTTTTGACTTATGTTGAGTTCTTTTATGTATAATCACGTATGGATTTAATTGGTTACCTTCTAGGGAATTTTGTATGATCTGAAGGTAACTTTTTTTATCCGGAACTAAGATTAGTTGATAAGTCATTGAAAAACAAGCAAATTTTTAAAGGTTAATGTGAACCGTTTTTTTGATGGACTTTTTGTTCTTTGAGCTGGATGATTTGATCGTGGAGCTTTCATCGTTATTCTGAACAACATCATTAGCATAAACTTAAGGTAAGAGTGAAGTGTTCGAATTTCTACATATGCGTTTCACAGCTTGTTCTGTAGACCTTGATGTAGATTGGTTCTTTTTGACCTTAAATCTGAGCTACAAATGTTTTTCGTCTCCTAATTTGAGCTGTAGGTATACACGCACAACACACCTAGTGAAAAATTAATTCACTTTATTGCAATTTAATGTTTTTTTTCACGAAGACAGAACGACTGTTCTTTATTCAATAACCAATAGTCCATCGGTTCCCTCTTCTAACTTAATTAATCCCTTCGTTGGACTTTAGGATATTATATCTTAAAAGTGGGTATTAATAACGACTTGATTATTATTTTAGTAAGATGTTTGTGGAAATTCGTCTTAATATGAAAGTAAATTGTTTAGGATTGGCATCTATTGGTCCATCACGGCTCCATGGCTGAGGCCTTAGAGATGGTGTAACTCTGAGTTGAATTGTTATTAGATATGACTTAGAATAGAAGTCAATGACCGTCCTGATGCAGCTTTTTTTCACATTCTTTATAAAAGTAAGAGGAACCCTTTTCACTCAAAGAATTCTTCCTGGTTGTATTCTTTAATTGAAATGTCTCTCCTATTACATATACTATTGATTCACTTATTTTCACTTATTGAAATATTTCGATTGTACTCACTATTCTTTCTCTAGCTTTTCAGAGCTCAGTCGTCTAGAGGTTAAGAGATCATGCGCGAGACCAGAGATTCCTGGTTTGAGTCCGTTTGGCACTGGATCGTACATGTGCACTATTGAGGAGTCTCATACTAGGACGAAACGGCCGTTTAGTGCTCCCATGTTTTCAATGGTGGTCTAATATTGATCGATTCGTGATCTCAATCAAAACTTGACAATCTACACAACACTATACTGATATAAATAATCGCAATTGAATATTTTGTTTATTTATTGTACTCCATGTTTACAATCGTATGATAAACGAACTTCCGATTGTTAAAAATAAAAGATAAAAATGTCAATTGGTAGATGAAATGCAACAATATGATGTCGGTGAGTGAATGCTTCTCATCAAACTGAATTATTTAAGTAAACATCCGTATAATTTTAGATGAAAGACAAAACTACCAGTCAGAAAAGTAGTTCATTTTAAACGATAAAATGACATGCTTATATGCAATATACAAGCGTAAAACAAACATGATAATGTGTTATAGGCGATAGAGAGAAATCAGTTTTGGTTAAAGTTAGACATTAACTCCGTTGGAGGTTAGGAGTTCGCGCGAGAGATCCCGCGAGCCGGGGTCGTCGATGCGTATTGCTGAGTTCAATACGAGAACGAAATGGCCGTTGAGTGATTCCACATTTTCCATAGTGGTCTAAATTTAATTGACTCATGAATTCAGTTTTGTCTAACCAATTAAAACCTGATTGTTAGGCCTAATTTTCGGATATCATATCCATTTTATAAACTGTCCAGTTGCAATTTTCATTCTAATCACTTCTCATTATTCTATTTTTATAATTGAAATGATATTTGAATCCCCCCCCCAAAAAATTATTTGATTCAATCTGTTGCTGTACGCTCATTGACATAAATAAACTAATTCACTTAATTTCATTCCTACTACACAGCTGATGGTCATAAACATTTAGTCGGGTTTTCCAATTTGTAAAATCTATGCTATTCTTTCATCTTGGGAAGGTCTCCTAACAGAAAACTTCTTGGATCATCTTGATGACCTAAACGTATGAAAGCTATGCAAACCAAATCTGTAAACAACTTTCATACTACATCTACATTTTAACTTATTATCGAATTTCACAGATTGAAATCATGAGTCAGTTGAAGCTAGACCACCATTGAAAACCTGGAAGCACTGGACGGCCGTTTCGTCCTAGTATGGGACTCCTCAGCAGTGCGCATCCACGATCCCGCACCACGCGGGGCCCGAACCCAGGACCTACTGGCTTCGCGCGCGAGCACTTAACCATTAGACCACTGAGCCGGCATCCAACGGTGTTAATGTCTAACTTCAACCAATCCACGAAGTTGCGCCACCGTACACCATTGTCTTCAGTGAGTTCCTATCTCACAACAGACCTGGTTGAACTCCACTGGTAACGGCTTCTCACTAGAACTTCGGAAGTTTTTCCTGAAGTCAGTCAATGGTGGTCTAGCTTCAACTGACTCATGATTTCAATCTGTGAAATTTCTAAAATCTCCACAAAACCCATTCTGATAATTATTATCGAATATAATCAATCTTTCTAATCATTATAAAAAAACAGTTTAGTAACCAATAGAACGATGTGTAGTTTCGTCATATCTTGTGAATCTAATTTCAATATATCAATCTCCTATTATGTAACAATTTTATCACTGATACCGACACTTATGTTTTCTACCCTTGGCTTTTGCCAACTTACGTCACCTATTGCGAAGGCCGGATATCAGTCTATCAATAAAAGGACGAGTATAGTGCGCGGCAGCCCGTTCTGTTCTAATTAACGGCAGCGAAATGCGGCCATTAAGAGTAGAAGATACTTGTGAGCTACTAGTATTTGATCACAGATGTCATAGAAATATTGCTCGCATCTGCTGAGATCACCGAGTAAGTAATAGTGAGGTTCGACGCAGGGTATTAGGGAATGATGGTAAGCCACTTGATGAGGTTGTGAATCTTCATCGACTGAGATGGTTGGGCCACGTGTTACGTATGCCAGAACCCCGTTTACTACGACGCACAGTGCTGACTAAAGTTGAAGACGGTTGGAAGAAAGTTACGGACGGTCAAACCAAAACGTCGCATCAGTGCTTGGAGTCACTAACCTCTAGTCTGAGCCATGTTAGTAGATGCAGACTACTTGATTGGGGTTCGCGTGACTGTCGTGGGTGACATGGTTCAGAATCGATCACAATGGCGTCGGTGTATACACTCCCTG